CAAAGGGTCTTTTATATTAGCAGAGTTCAAAACCAACTTCCTTGAGCGTCTCAATGCACATTTTCGTAGCAAAACTTGCTTTTGACAATACTTGTGAGGCAGAATCTTACATATTTATTCTGCTAGAAAGGAGAAAAAGAAGAAAGCTGGCATCCAATGTAGGCAGGGAAAGGGTGAGTTTAGTCCATTGTTCCTGGCAGTAATTGAACAAACTGAATCCTTCCTATAGGCCATTTTGCTAAAAGTAAAAGCAGGAGGCCAAGAAACAGATATTGTATTGTCCCACTTGTTGCATAACTCATTCTTTTCAGTCTCCCTTTGCTAACCTGCTCCTCTTGGATTTTTCTAGTCATCCTTACTGTACTTTCCTGCACTGAGCCTTCAGCACTGTTTTTATTTTCAGTTCCCTGTTGAGTAGTAATTGTCTGCAAAAAAAGGACAAAAAAAAATAATCTGGTGAATACTAATTTGGGGGGGAAATGTGATTTCCTGCTTCCTAAATCTATTTGTAACCTGAATCTAAATTCAGTCTGCAGCTTTGGTTCCAGGGAGGAGGAAGGGAGGAGTGGGGAGACTGCACGTCGCTGATGCATCCCGCAGCTAGATTTAGGTAAAATTCATTGCATGGCTTTTTATTTTAATGAGAGGTACTGAAAATCTAGTAACAGCAGCAACAAAAGGTTTGATCAATAAATTTTCTTTTTCAGTCTGGCAGCCAAATAAAAAAAATCAGGTGTTTGTGCATCCGTAATTGCTAGCATCCTGAGCAATACTTTCAGATAAATCTCTTCTATCTCCAGCATCCCTTAGTTAAAACTTCTCCAGAAGCATGTGAGAAAGTAGGGGCCATTCTAAGGAACAAAATGAAGCTGAAGAAGGTTCTCTTTGTGCAAAGAGTAACTAGAAAGGACATTTTATGACATAGAAACTCCGCTCAAAAGAGGCTTGTCAGCGACTAAATGATGTTCAGAGGGCTCTTCTGCTGGAAATAACATTTGGGGGAGAAATTTGTTTTTCACCAGCCAGAGAGAAAGGACCCAACTTCACTTTGCATCATTTGCCAAAAAAAGAGAAATAAATCTGGAGGTGCTGCTCATTTTGGTTGAAATGTTGGCGTTTCTGTCGTTTCTCAAGGCGCTGCCCGTGGTTGCGGCGCGGGGATTTTTAATGCCGGGAACAATCCCAAACGATCGGGTGGCTTTGCCAAAGTGGCACAAACCACTGGGAAAAACTAGAAGCTGAAAAACCAAATAATTTCCAAGTTGTTATTTGAGGAAATGGTTTGCCTTGGCGTCTTGTCTTTGCTGTAGATTATCGTGCGTTCGCGCGGTTGACTTGTTGGACAAAGGCGCATCTGGAAAGGCTGAACCTACCAGGTCTGCTCCTGGTGTTCCCGTCCCAGATTTGATGTTATTACAAAAACATTTGCTGGCAGCAGGGGAGGATGAAAAAGATGCCAGTGTCAGACTTCTATACATCGCCTGGCAAAGAGAGGATATTGTTTCAAGGGTAGAGTGATATCGAACTGACTGTTTCGTCGTTGTGACTGCCTTTCATTTGGAAATTCCTGGGAATTTCAAAAATTCCATCATTAAAGGAGTTAAACATCTGCTTGCAGCCTTGCTCGAGCGATGTATCTTATATGTACTGCGATGTGTATACATCTCTCTTCTATTCATCTCCAATATCCACTGTCTTTATAACGACCTTTGCATTTGGTTGCAGAAGCTCAGTCTGAATTGTAGGTTCTGAGTCTTGGTCCTTTTACATCTTAATTCTCTGCCTTTTTTTATTTGCCCCCGATCTGCCCTGTATGGTTGTAGCCGTTTCTGTTCCCGAGGTTGCTTCAGAGAGTGCTTTCTAGTGCTGGGCTCTCCTGCTGCTGTTTTGTAGAAAGCACTATATCTGTTATACCATAGATTAAAAAAATGGGCTTAATCATTGATATTTACCATTTATCTGTAATTCCTGCTTACCACTTACTCCATAATTGCACTGCACCCCCACCATCACCAGTGGGTTGAAAAAGGAGCTCTGCTACTTCACCAGTGGACAGCAGAGAAACCAAGAGAAGCTCACCTCCCAAAGATCGTGGAAAACTCTGTATCGCGTGAAGGACCTGAAACCTGCCCTCCCAAATTCCAAACTGTTCCCTCTCTCCACCCTGGGTCCTCTTTTCTATTTTTTTTTTAAAAAAAACCACATGGAAATTACATGTTTTGAAGCTGTCCGTTGCATTAGAGGCCTTTTTTTTTTCCCCCTAGCTATTGAGAGCCTGGCCACAGCTGTCTCTCTGTCCAAAGATGCTCAGTTCAGCTGTAATCATTATCCACTATAATAAGATTTTTGGCTTCTCCATCCAGGCAGTAGAGACTGCCTGACCCACACAATAGGTGTAATTATTGTCAGGGTGGGTGGCCGAGCTAGCAGCCTTCCCAGCCATTTTAGCCTTTTTTCTCCAAGCACTTAGATCACGTAGATCACAATTACTTAACACTGAGTAGTGATTTTTTTTTTTTAAATAATAGTTTTACACCACCAATGTCTCACCTGATCTGGGGGAGGTGTGGTTTGGGTTTTTTCGGCCCTGTATACAAGGATTCTTTAGTGGAGATAGTCTCTTAACTACAGAAATATTGCTGTCGCGGGTGCCAGGTCTGAGAGCTTTTGGCTCGCTTCTCCCTGCACTCCTGCAGGGTGGTCGTTTCTCCCCGGTGGAGCTTTGGGATCTGGGGATGAGCACCCGGAAGCATTCGTCTTTGCTGATTTACAAGGCTATTAAAGTTACTCACTGGTGCACTAATTAGAAACAGGAAGGTGCAGGGGAATAATGTCGCTCTGCGTGCCTGGCTGTTCTTTGGGGCTCTATTTCCCATCCTCCCGTGAGAGAGCCCACTTTTTCTGAACGGAAGCAGCAGCGAGCTGTGAGGAATTGCAAAGGATCTTCACAGCAGCTTCAGATGTGTCTAAATAATGGCTCCATCCAGCATGTGAAAGCCCTTTGGTCTCGACACTATAAAATATATCCTCTGCTGTTCTGCTGTGTTGAAGTGGGATCCTCTTGAAAGGACTCCGTGGAGGGAATAAATTTGCAAGTGGCAAATCTGGGAGCTTTGTGGCAGTCTGTGGGTTGGTTTGGGTTGGTTTTTGTTGTTGGTTGATTTTTTTTCCCTTTTCTCTCATTGAATTCTCCAACGTCACCACATCCTTAGCTGACAAGAAATCAGAGTCTCTTGTGGGAGATTTGAAGGAGCTTGGCTTGGCATGATGGAATGCCGGGAGGGCACAGGTACTTTCTCAGAGCAGCTAATAACTTTATAGAAAGAGCATTTAAAAGCGTTTCATCTGTTTGAACTTAGTAGCAATGACAGTTTCTTTCCTCATTTAAAAATGGAGTTTGCTTTTTAAAATCAGTATTGTCTTCCTGTAAAGAAAGAAATCAGGTTGCAATAATTTCAGGCTGTGATCATTGTAAGACAAAATGAAACATTCTGCGTGAGTCAGAGAAAAAGTTGGGCATTATTATTCTGTTTTATTCTTTCTCAGCATTTCCACCCTTTTATTTCTTCCTACCAAAATCAATCTTTTTTGCCCCTAGAGTTTTTAGATCAACAGACCTGGCTTGACTTCAGGCAACCTCCATGTCTCTCTGCTTCTCTGCATCTGAATTAAGGAGAAATGATCCTGACCTACTTTATGAAGTGCTCAGAGATCTGCAGAAGAGCCATGTTTGGCCATTTTTAAACTGTGAATTTGGTCCTTACAGGTGTTTGGGGGTTTTCCTACAGGGATCGCAGACGAGCAAGGGACTCGTCGGCTGCCGCCAGCTCCTCGAGGGTTCACCTTCCCTATTGCTTCTTTTAACAGTGCTTTTAAATCTGTATTTTAAAGCCTGTCTGTGAATATCTCCTTCATCCCACTGTCTTTTAATTAACTCATCCCCACTGCTGTTTCTTATTATGCGTCTCTGATACTTTATTAATTAGTACCCTGTGCAGTATACCGAGAAAGTTGGGATCTAAGATGCCATGAAAGATGAAAGTGTTTATCCCTGAGAAACAAAATAACGAAGGCAAAAGTTGTGTTTTCATCTGCCAACAATGACAACCGGAATGTCGCCGGAGATGTGATTGTCTATTTATTTAATTTTGCCTAAAACAAGCCATATAACTGTGATATATAAACTGTGTTAGAAGTGAGTGCTGCTTTGGCACCGAGGTATTTATCACTGTTACTGTGCTGATGCTGTTTTTTGCAATATTACCTGGGTATTTATGAGAAGTCCAGTTCACAGGGGCTTCAGTTGCTTGGGCTGCTCCATCCCATTTGCTGGTGGGTGTCTGAATGAGGAAGCGTTGTCTGGAACAATCTGCTTCGCCAATAACTCAAGTCTTTGCTGTTCCAGTCTGTGCCTGTTCCAGATGTTTCAGTGGAAGCACTTTCCCTCGATATCATGGAATGGTTTGGGTTAGAGGGGACCTTAAAGCTCATCACATTCCAACCCCTGTGCTATGGGCAGGGACACCTCCCACTAGACCAGGTCGTTCAAGCCTCATCCTGCAACTTGCAAAACTGAAAAGAATCTCAGCAGTTCACTAAGATAGAGTTTGCCTAATGCACTGTCAACGTCACTTGCCTTTCAGCCTGTCGTTCTTTTTTTAAAATCAGTTTAAGCCTGCTCAGGTTGCTGTTTGTTTTGTTGTGGTTTTGGGGGTTTTTGTAAATCCCTCTGCTGACTCTTTTATTTGTTGATTTTGCTTTTCTGTCATATTGGTTTTGCCCATCTGTTTAATCTGTGACCCTCTGCAGGCATGCAGCCTCTGTGCAAAAAAAAACCTGTATGAATCCCTCAGGAAGCTTGATGTGAAGATTAAGTGCTGCGTAAGGGCAGCGATCCGATCGGATTGTTTCTTCCTCCCAGGCTCCCCTTCAGCCACGTGCGTTTCCCACTGCCTTTCCTCTGACACTATCCTGTTCTTTCTTTCTTCTTTCTTCCACAGGTGGGCTCTGCATCGCTCAGTCCCTGAAAATCCCCCAGGATCGCAAGGACAAGACCATCTACTTCGATAAAATTATCAAGCAGCTCCTGGAAACTCCCAACGCCAGGGCCATCGTTATTTTTGCCAACGATGAGGACATAAAGTAAGGATGGCTGAGGGAATTAATTCATTCGGGCTCGGATAGCTGTTGCAGAAAAGAGAGAGCAAGTAAGATATGAATCATGAAGTGGAAATGGCTGTTGTTAAGAGGGGCTGTGGAGGTGGCTGATGCCCTAGACTGAGCACGTCACTGGGGGGACAGCGATGTTGGCCATGGTCTGGAGGCTTTTCCGGGTGCAGGGAGACTCGTGCATTGGGGCACAGACCTGACCTTCCCTCTCAAAGAGGCTTCGAGAAGATGCCTCTCTCTCCAAGCTCATACTGCCGCACGTTGTCCATTAATTCAGAGGCTGTTCTGTGGCAAGTGGTGGTTCCCAGTGACTAAACGGCTTGGGTGCTCAAGGTTAAGCCAAGTAAGGTGCTCAAGGTTTAACCGCATACAACTTGCTCATAAAATAATAGAAAATAGATTTTAAAAGCGTGACTCATTTCTCGACTTGCCCACTTTGTGGACATCTTCTCTCTCCAGAATTTTCAGTTAGCCTAAAGTTGTGATGGAGTGGTCAATCGCTGAGAAGCTCAGTTCTGCAAAACGAGGCACAGAGAAGTTAGGATCAATTTTCAGTAAGGCCAGTGGCAAGACTTTTAGTGGATTCAGTATTTCCGTCTTAGGATACAGGGTGAATTAAGAGAGGTCCAGCCTGTGCTGCGTGGACCGGGACGCGGTGTTTTGCGAAGTCCCTGAGCTCTGTCGGTTACAGAACGGGCTGTTCCTGCTTGTGCGGCGGTTGCAACACACCGTTACTATATGTTACGTGCTTCAATTAAGTTGATTTGTGAAAATGTTCTTTCTCTGCAGGCAAATCCTTGCGGCCGCCAAGAGGGCGGATCAGGTCGGTCACTTCCTCTGGGTGGGCTCGGACACGTGGGGCTCCAAGGTGTAGGAGGACGTGGCCGAAGGAGCCATCACCATCCTCCCCAAGCGAGCGACCATAGAGGGTAAGAGCTCTCTCCTGCAGCACTGGGGGTGCAAAAGCGATCGCTCGTGACCCTCTCTTGTGTATGTTTTGTGCCTAAAGGTGTACAGATGTGGTAGGGTACAGAGAGTGTAAAGAACATGGATCAAGTCTTCATCTCCTGAATTCTTCCTGAGTTGTCTGTGTTCCTCGTGTGAAAACTGTGTGTTATCTCCACAGCTGAGAAGCTACCAGTAGTTATTTATTAAAGGCCTGATTGTAGAGCTTATATAAAGCTGTGGTGGTATGACAGGGCCTTTACCACTTCAGAGGAAGTAAACCAAAATGGTCCTGAAATACCACGTACATATACAGGAAATTTGCATTTTTGTGTATCGTCTCTGAAGCAGTGGGTAAGCTTTCTGCTGAAGAAGTAAAAATTCATTTTTAAATTAGCCATTGCCATTTAAACATAGCTTAGCTTTTATTTCGTTCAGACCAAGTACTACAGTTCTTTACGTGCATTGCTTGTGTGCTTCACGAGTGGGTGTACTCGTAGATATGCATGTGTCTAGAAAAATTAGGGGACACTTCTTTACATAATCCCCATGTTTATCAATTTTTTTTGATTTTTTTTTTTCCGTGAGGTGGTTGTTATCTGTTCTTTCCTCAATTTGTTACCCCTTTGGTCTGTATAGATGCTTAACTATCCAGATGGCCTCCTTTGGACAAACCAAACAGTCCACGTTCTCTATAATATGAAAAGAGAAGTTCTTGGTAAGGGCGGCACTGAGTAAAGAAAAACTCCTCGGCTGGGACACGGCTTTGTGTCAGCCAGGGTCTCCGAAGAGTTCTGGAACACTCTGCCCCCATTAAAATAGGTTCTGGTCTTCCCTTGCTCCAAAACCAAATATTTGCATTCATTTTTACTGTGTCTACACTGCATTAGTTATTCTTCTCAGGTATATAATGTGCTTCATCCATTTACATTTTTTAAACCCTGGAGGCGTTTTCATATGCTATTTCTCCATAAATACGTAAAGTTGATAGACAATGAAGTGTTTTGTTTCTGAAAACCAGGATATTTTAATAATGTTTTCACACTGTCTGTGTTCATCCCTAAGGGTTTCTGACACAGAAACAAAGAGTCTGCCAACAGTATGCAGAAATAGAAAATTGCCAAGTTTGTTCGTTTTAAAATATTTTCCTTCTGTATTGCACACATTGGACAGAATGGGAAGCGTGAGGTTTGCTTTTGGACACAATAAGTGACAGTAATGGAGCGGAAGGGTTCAAGCAGGGAAAGTCAGTTGATACCACCCACCGATTCGGACCAATTCTGTTTCTGTTTCATCCACCACGAGAAACACCTAGTGCAATCCGGTACTTACAGAAGTAAGTAATCCTTAGGTATTGGCATTTCTTTGCTTAGTGAGGCCATTATCCATATGGATCATCTGCCTCTCTTGCATTTAGACTTGGTGCATGATGTTTTGTTTTTCTTTCTGTTGCGGTAATTTCATTTGGTGATGAAACCAGGACAATTGACAACAGGCAATTTAATGTTACTCTTTTCTCATCCAGCAATTAAGATCTGCCTTCTAAAATTTAGGAATGCATTTCTTTTGATGAAGGCATAAAACAAATGAAATAAGGAGCTTTGGTTTTCCTCATAAATTGATGGAGACAAACTAAATTGGCAAACTTGAACTTGACCTGCCCCTGGGGCAATATCCCAGCCCAGCAGCCTTCTCTCCAGATCAATCCCCCATTAAGCACCAGTTTAATTCCCACTGGATTTGGTGAGAACTTCATTAGTCATGAATAAGGGATGATCCTTATGTTCCTCCTCAAGAGCATCTTCTGTTTGTTCTTTTTTTTTCCTTTTCCTTTTATCTCTGTGTTATGTAGTGTTTGTAATATGTGAGAAAAAGATTCCTAACAAATTGCGCTGGAAACAGAGCCCTCCAGCTCCCATACCTTAACCTGAAATATGTGATACCGCTCACCTCGTCTCATGCTTCGGGGAGAAACGTTAAGGTTAATAAGCTAAGAAATGTTAAATTGCATTGAAAATTTATGCGCCTGCATGACCAAGCGTGTATGACACACTTTGAATCTTCAGATATTTTTTTTTATGTCCGTAAAGGCATAAAATGAAGCAGTCATTATATGGAAAATGGCATTTTTCAGATAACTCTTCTGCCCCAGCCATGACTCTTCAGTTCAGACCAGAGATGTGAAACGCGGCTCTGTTGGTGTGTTTACACCGGTATGCAGATGTACCTTTCCAAGTTCCTATTCTGGTAACAGTGAGAATATCCCAGCAGCCTCTGACTCCAGAGAGAGTCTAAAGCGCTCGATTTCTCATAGAATCAGGCCCCGGATATGCAGTTATTTGTCTTGATACTTGATCTCACTCTTGGGACAAGATTTTCTATGCTGTAGTCCCACGGGGTGATTTAGGAAATCATTACATGAACTGAATTCATTCATCTTAAGTCAGTCTTAATAAAGCCCGATTGTGTTTGATGTAATTATGCTGAAAGGATAAAGTCGCATCTTATTTGCATAATTGCAGTAGTCGGTGAGCCAGAGGAAGTGCACACTTAAATCATAATCACTCCATGAAAACTTACGCTCGGAACAAGCTCGGTAGCCAGCTTCACCAAGTACCGATCAAGTTGAAAGACTTTGCCAGGTTTTTGGGGAAGAAGAGCGGAACGTATTCATTTTTTTACAACAAATATGGCCGCAAAACATTATATTTGGGTTATTGTTGCTTTGAGCTCTTCAAAAATGAGTTTGTGGTGGTGTGTCCTCATGCTCACGGAAGGTGACTGAAACTTCAGCGTACGCTGAGAGGAACAGGAGGGTGCCGTGTGCTGCAGAGCTGCTGCTCTCTTCCCCAGAAACCTCCGTATTTCTTCCTTCACCTGAACAGAAAGACAAACGTTGGGGGAGATTTGGTCAGCCTGGTGTGGAAGGGCAGAACAAGTGCCCAGCTAATCACAGGATGGATGAAACGCCGCAGAGAGGAGCAAATGGGAGCTACAGGAGGATTTCGGGCACGCAAAAGCAGGCTGTCACGGAGTAATGATGCTGATGCTGTCAGGTTCATGGCAAAAGTGGGAGGTGTTGAGGCAAGTGTAGCAAGTTCCCAAAATTTCAGGTGTCAGAGGGAAAGTGGAAGCACAGTGGAAAATGAAAAGAGAGAGCGAGGCTTCAGGAAAAACTACAGTGTTTAGTTCTTGCAGCTCAGCTGAGCTACTTGCCTTCAGATTAGGAAATTACTGTACCTGGTTGTCTTCTCCTTGGGCAGTGGTAGTCTTGAGAGGAAGTTGCTCATTTGCCGCATTTTTCGTTTGAGGTCCCAGAGGCTTTGTAGACCGTCCAAACCAGGGAGAAACAAAATATGGAAACATTCTCTGGATTCTCATGGGCTGGACCATCATTGCAGCTGCAGACTTCCCCAGATGATGGCTGGGGTGAACTGCAACCCTCTGGAAATGAACTTCTTCCACACTGACCTTTTTCATCACAAACTGACCTCTAAGTGTTCCACTGCCACTTGACCGCTTCATGTTTCCGTAGATTTAATTAAACTTCAGAGCATTTCCCCGCCTTGTTGTCACTGCTGTACCCAAATCTAATTACACTTTTTAACTGCCTGGGGTGGCTCTCTTTATTACACCATGCAGATGTGCCTAAGAGTTAGCTGGAGGACCCTCTGATGAACAATGATAATGCTACTGGCCCAGATATCAGTTGAAGTTCTCCCTAGCAGGCAGATTCAAAGTCAGGAGTTCTTAAATTCTTCCCCTGGAGGAAAAGCAGATCTTCCTGCCAGCGATAAGAAGATACCTGTGGCATGGGACCTGGAAAAGCCTGATCTTTTTGGAGCAGGTTTGCGCAGTACTTGCTGAATTCAGTACGGAAAGCTGCCAGAGAGCACTTGTCCAGAAGATGCCCGGGTTGGAGGAATGAAGTCAGCCAGATGATCTTGGGTTTCAGAATCCCCTTTTTGTTTCTTTTCTTCCCCATTTTTTCTTCCAGTCTAAGCAATGCCTACACTTCAGAGTGCAGTCTGTAGCATCTGTTGAGATTAAAAATGGTCCATTAAACTCCTTGAGGAGTGTGGTAGTAGAGAGCACATGTGACAGGTAGAACAGTGACATTCAGGATATTGTCTGGACCTTGGAAAGGCACATACCACACGCTCCATGGCAGCCCAGCAGTATATTTTTATCAAATACTGTGTGACAGCTGAAATGAGGAAATAGGCAGCTTTCTTCCTGAAAAAATACTTCTTTCATGCTACTCCAAGGTTTATCCTTTCACCACTGGGTTTAGTGCAGAAGGACCCAATACCTAGTAAGACCTCATTAATATCTGTTGGTATCTTGTTAAGCCCCACGTATGAACTAGTGGAAACTACTGTTTTCAAGAGACAGTACTAATTTTGGATGCTCTTTTGTGATCGACCCGCTCCGATACACTGAGGTTGACAGGATCTGCAGAAAATATTGAGCGACTATGTTTTTAGAAATAAAAGCCATTCAAAAGACTTAGAGATAGGCCTAGAGCAGGGAGGAGTAATCGCTGAAAATCACAGCCATATTTTTAAGGGTTCCAGATCCGTCCTACAAAGCTTCAAAAATAAATATATATAAATTCTATGAGTTAAAAATGCCTCTCTATTCAGAGTTATCTTAGAAATTGTTTTCCTCTTAACCTCAACTGTTAAGAAGATGAACAACTGTCTACTTATCTCTTGCTTTCTGTTGTTTCTGTGCCTCTGTGCAAAAAATTTTGAATTGGATTGTAACGCTGTGGTTCAAGTTGTTAGCATTCATGCTACTGACCTAGCAATTTTGGATACCCAGTTCTTCCTCTAATTTTTTTCTTTTAAAATAGTTTTCCTTATCTTTCGTACTCACATGCGATCTGTTTTCATGGATACCAGCTCCCAGTGAAATAAAACCAAGACAAACAGAAAAAAAAATATATATATGATGTTAAATATTTTGAAATCCTGGCAAA